AATAATTTAAGATGAGCACGATTTCCATTATTTTTATTTATTTTATTCATTGCTTTCGACAATAACATTGTAATATTGTTTGTCACATTAAGGCCCACAACCACATTTCTCGGAACAATTTGTGTTAACCATGTTTCATTGATTGCCACATCATTTCAGATTAGAGATAGAGTTGTAAACAGTTCTTGACCTTGGTTACCTTTCTGCTTTCTCCTGTTGTACTTTGTACCTCTGCAGATGAGTATCTGTTACAGAGAAACCACACGTCCAGGGTCAGCAGCCATCTTTGTTTACAGACACGTGTATGCTTTTGTTGGACGTGCATTAATTGCACCAAAGAGTTCCTTAGTTGCGCCAAGCCCTCAAAGGGTCTCATCTCAAAAAATGTTTCTTAGTTGCGCCAAGCCCAAGCCAGGTAGGGGTGAGTTTCCGGCAGAAGTAACGTGTCATCCTAACCTAACCTAACCTATCTTATCCTATCTTATGTTAACCTAATCTAACCTAACCTAACGTACTCAATTATACAGTCAAAGAGGGCCGCCGCTTGGCTTAGTTAAGGAACGTATCGGGTGGCTCCCTAGAGTAGTTGGCGCAATTTAGGAATACCAGACTATCTGACTCAGGTCAGTTGGCGCAATTAATGCCCGCCCCTTTTGTTAACGCTGTTTTATTAAGTTTCAATAATTTCATAAGGAAAAGTCTACATTAGTTCAAAGAGCGGGACAAAGAGGTTGTAAGGACAAGAACACGACTTAGCTATTTTAATATTTGTGTTTTTTAGTTTGCAATTAGCTAAAAAAATACAGTTTTAGAGAACGGTCAAAATCATTTTCTTGTTAAAGTTTGTGTTTTCAAATTTTGTTAAAAAACATCAATGATAGGCCATTTTGATTATCCATAAATTGATAGTAGTTGATAGTCCAATAGCAAATGACATCTGTGTCCGGAATAGAACTTGGAAAAAGTAGCAATAATCATGGCCAACCAAAGAATTTTAATTTTTTTATTGTGTGATAGGATTGACTGTTTTTACTTTGGAGTAGACATCCCGTCTAAAATATTTAAGGACCAGCTGTAGCCAAGTTTTTTACTCAAAGAAAACAATTTGTACCATCACATGTCCATTGGAGTATTTTACCTTACATTTCCAAGGGGCTGTTGGGGAGCGAGTTGGTCTAGTAGAAGCAAGGGCTCCCGTATCCGATGTGTCGAGTTCAAATCCTGTCAACTACCAATGGATTTTAATTCCAATAGATTAATTATAGAAAAACTTTAGCGACCAGAGGCCTAAGATGATGCGACGGTTCCAATGCAGAGCCTAGTTTTCCCAGGAGGGCTGTGTTTTACGTAACACCATCATGTTTATGGTTTATGATCTCCCTCTATGTGATTGTTATGCAGTTTACTCCTCGCACTCTTTGACCTTCACCCGACGTGGCGAAGATGTCGTATTTTACATTTTATAGTTTACTTTACGAGCGCATTATTTGTCAAACAATCTGCTTATCCGATGGGATGAGGAACTCACGTTTAAACTGATTTTATATTTGAATTTAGACGGATTTGTTGTGCTTCAGATTAGGAACAGTGTAAATACATAACAAAAACAATTTAAATCGGAGGACAATCATCTAATTTCTATTTGTAAAATAATTATGACATTAATATAAGCATACAATGCATTTTGATAAAAGCATAACCTTTCAGTTTTATTCCATGTCCCTTATTTACTGTGTTTACCAAGTTTGAATAACTTGTTACTGTTGGGTTACCTCTTTTCGCTGCCTTATGTTCTTCATGTTCTTATGCTATTCGCTGATGCGAATTTCGCAACAAATGTTGCATCTTCAGAGGTACAATAACTATTTAGTGATGCGCACTCTAGGTGAAAAGTGCATCTGTGAATAACATAATAACATCAAGATCAGAAGGCAACAAAAAGGTAACTCTTCTGTTAGCTGGGCATTAATTAACAACGTCACAAAAGCTAGTGTGGCTTTTCGGATATTTTGCTGAACTTGTTGTAAAAATGTGTGTACAATTATTTTTGGGTCTCTTTATTTTTGGTTCCGCGCGACTAGAGTCGTAACAGTCGCAGGATAGGAAATGGACCTTTCGACTCGTCTCTTTCGAAAGCCCGAATACAATTATGTATACTCACAAACAAGCCCTACCCTACTATTTTGAGGCAATAACTCTCTTTCTGACAATAAATTCGATTTGAATCTTGAGTGTCTCAATGTAGTAAAGGAAGCAATTTACTACCGCATTTCATATGGTCATCGCAATAAAATGCCAACCAAACAAATTCATCATGCATATCAATTAGTTCAGAAATGTCTACTGCTCGTCCTTGAATCTTATCCTCTGAAAAATAATTTTGTTAAAACAGAATTTATTATGAGTGACAAAGGGTCGGACACGGATTCATCCAACACAATACTTCTGTCTCTCTCACGCCAGTGACAATATGAGTCGTCTGTCGCACATCTCTGATCCCTCCTGAAGGATTTACAGCCCCTTGTTATATCTTGGGTTTGTTCTCCCCCTTCCACCTCTCCCGACACTCACTGTCTACAACAGTTTCACCTCCAGGAAGTCTTCTGTTATACCTGTGTTCTTTTGGGCCTTCTTCCTTTGTGTGTCGAAGTGTCTGCGAAAGTAAAGGGAATTTCGTAAAATGTTGGGTAAAACATACTTTAAAGGGATGTGATTGTAATTTGACAATAGGTTAGTTCGACATGAACAGTCAACAGTGGAGGATGGGGAATAAGTAAGAATAAAAAAAAAAAAAAACTATATATGGAATGAACAATAACATGGATGGTAGAAAAATAATAACGAACAAGTGGAAAACTTAAGTAGTTTGCGAAAAATGTTATGATAAAGAGATGGAAGATTCGTCTTTTCTCAATCTGTCAAACGTGAAAAGGGATAATTAATCGAAAATATGTAAAACGTTTGGCTAGTTTATTTTAATTTGCCAGTAGTAAAAAAGTTTGTTTCGAAATTTTGTGAAATTCTTGAATATTTAGGAGAATTGTTCGGTTAAGTAATTTCCTCAATGAGTAATGATATTGGTAATATTATATTTAATTGCCACTCATAAAAAAAAATCGATATCATAAAAGTAAACCATCTAAACCTTTCTTTTACGTGTTTAGTGATTTATACACTCGCAACATAAAAACAAACAAATAAACAACACAAATAAAAATGAACACAAATACAAATAAACAACAAACACAAATACAAAAAACTAAACCAACAAACAAAATATAACAACAATTTAAAAAACGACAACACAAATAAACAACAAATAATTAACAAACAACCAAATGAACAACAAACAATTAAATAAACAAAAAACAACATCAAACACAACACAAAGACAACAGCAACAAACACAACAAACAACAAACACAACAAACAAACAAATAAATAATTAACATTAAACAAATTTGTGGACGAAAACTCCAATTTGCATGCTATATTTTTGCTACAAACAAAAATCAAATTGAACACCCCAAACAATTACTTGTCCTGTTAAATTTTATTAAAAATGTAGGCTATATACTTTCGACCAGACGTAAAGTGGAACAGGCTACCTTTCTTTATTTCCAGTGTATTAAAGACGTCAACACTCAACAGTACACCTACCTATTTTCTCGACTTTTAGTCGCTAAATTGAACCGTTATTCTAAACACCGTAGTTTTGCGCCGTGCTTATGAAATTACAAAATACATAGATTACATTTTATTTCCGCTCGCTTACAGCAGGTTATTTTAATGACATATCAGTAACCTCCTGCGGGGTACGTCATCTACCCATCAACCCATCAACCCATCTCCGTCTTACAATCTAATACCTGTTTTCTCGTCCGGAATAAAATTTCATTTTGACACAGAATCCCGGTCGTGACTGTTTTTGTTCACGTTGAGTATCCCTGTGCTTGGCGGTCGAGAGCACGTCGGCTCCCACGATGGTTAATAAGTGCTCGAAATCGAGCATTGTTTTGTTATGGCTTTTGGATTTTGTTGGAATTGTATTACGTCCAAGGTTTTTAATACACTTTTTTATATTCAAACTCTTTTACTACTTATGTTACTGATTGGAAATCGGAGTTAACTTATTTTACTTATGCGTTAAATGCTAATTGGTGGTAAGCTAGTTGACAAACCCTCTCCATTTCCCATATTTCTTCCCTATTATTTAACCCGAACCGTATAGTTTCAATATCATATTATAGTGTTCCTTGGTTGCCATTGTGTTTTAAAATGTGAGTGGCGTGTTTGGTACAAATTTACCTGTATTTTCTATACCCAATGTTTGTGATTTTTACTGAAATGCTGTTAGTAGGCTTCATCAATATTATTTTGAACAAGGGGTTTTGGTTTGCATACTTAAAGATTAGTCCCAGCACATTAGAATTGAATAAATGCTTAAATAATATTTTAATCAGTATATAGATTTACTATATGGATTATGGAAAAGTGGTACATGTAAATAAGATGTGTATACACAATTTATAATTAGTTGAAATTAATTTTTTAAATTGGATCTAAATAATTCCACATTTTCATTGTCTCCATGTGAAAATGATATTTATTAAGTATGCTGTAGACATTCTCATGGTAAAGACCTGTGCATAGTTAGTACCGGTAACAAAAATAAAACAACACCGGCTCAATAATTATATGTGACTGGGTTACCTAAACTGTGTGTAATTAACAATTAGTCAAATGACTCAGACCGACCACTAACCTAACATTCCTTTATTTCAGACAAGAAGAACCCGGAGTGAAGAAAAAAGCCAACAACGGCACGCATAAATTCGGCTGTATGCTCGACAGAGAGATGCGGGGGCATGTGGGAGAGCGAGAGAGAGCGAAGATGCCGCCATGTTGAATACCTCGCTAGCCTAGGCCCATCTATTTGCGGCCATAAAATCCGCCGGGGGCTGGCGGGGGCAGGGGGCGCGGGGAGAGGGACGACGGAGCGGAGAGACGGAGACGCGCTCAGTGTTGCTCGCTCGTCCAGAGAGCGCGGAATGTATGTGGTGACGGAGACGGGAGTGCGGTGCGTGTGAGACATGCGGTGGCGCGGGGCTGTGCTGCGGTGCGCGGTCGCGGTCCTAGGTGCGGCACTGTGTGTCGTGGCTCAAGACACCTCGGCGCAGATGCAGAGCAGGGCCGTGGACACCAGGGTGCAGTTGGAGATAGCCGAGGGTCAGCCCAGAGGAACTATCGTCGGGAACATCCCTGTCAAGCGAGGATTCACATACAGGTTTAACGAGCCACCTCGGGAGTTCGTCCTGAACGGGACTACGGGTGAGATAAGGACTACAGTGGTGCTGGATCGCGAGACTTTAACGAACGATCGCTACGATCTCGTGGTGCTGTCGAGTCAGCCGACGTATCCGATAGAAGTGCGAATAGTCGTGGTGGATGTGAACGATAACTCTCCAGAGTTCCCGGAGTCGAGTATCGCAGTATCGTTCTCCGAGAGTGCGGCTGCCGGGACGAGACTGTTGCTGGACGCTGCGACAGACAGGGACGCCGGTGTCAACGGAGTGTCCGACGACTACAGGATAGTGGCCGGCAACAAGGATGACAAGTTCAGGCTGGAAGTCACTGTCAACCCTAGTGGAGACACGTCGTACCTGCATCTACAAACTACGGGTAAACTCGACAGGGAGAGCCGGGCCTTCTACCAACTCAACATCTCCGCAAGGGACGGTGGGAGTCCACCCAGGTTCGGATACTTGCAGGTCAATGTCACCATCTTGGATGTCAACGACAATCCTCCTATATTCGACCACAGTGATTACATAGTCTCCCTAAACGAGAGTGTACCCCTCGGCACGGTCGTTGTGAAAGTTATGGCATCGGACAGTGATATCGGTGATAATGCTAAAATTACCTATTTCCTCTCAGATTCGGAGAGGAAGTTCGCTGTGGACCCTGAGACCGGTGTGATAACGACGTCTGAACCTCTAGATTGTCCACATCAGAACTGTCCTCAGATATCGCAAGCCAAGCCGGGAGGTGGGTGTCCGAAGAGTTGTGTGTTTACTGTGTTCGCCAGGGATCACGGTTCGCCTAGACAGGATGGAAGGACGTACGTTACAGTGAATCTAGTGGACGCGAACGATCACGATCCCGTAATTAAATTTCGCTACTTCCCATCGACAGCTGGGTTCGCTACTGTGGATGAGAACGCGTCTAACGGTTCTGTGGTGGCGGCGGTCTCAGTGGTGGACATGGACGAAGGACTGAACGGGGAAACGAGAGTGGAGATCAAGTCAGGCAACGAGAGAAATCATTTCAGACTAGAATTCAGTGGTAGCTTCGACATAGTACGTGTAAACGGAGTATTGGATCGTGAACACATCAACAAATACAACCTCACTATCGTGGCTACTGATAAGGGATCCCCACCTCGGACAGCGACTGCTTTTCTTATCATCCATGTAAACGATGTGAACGACCACGAGCCAGTGTTTGAGAAAAGTGAATATTCCGCAATTCTGAGTGAGTTGGCCCCTCCGGGGACGTACGTGGCCGGAATAACCGCAACTGACGAAGATACGGGAGTGAATGCACAAGTGTATTATGCTTTTGTGTCAGGAAACGATCATCAGTGGTTTGTAATGGATATCGATTCTGGATTAATTACTACTAAAGCTCCATTGGATAGAGAAGTACAAGGTACGGTAGAACTAAGAATATCAGCTAGAGATGGAGGGCCTAACCCCAAATGGGCGTACACCCAGCTCAAGGTTATTATTTTAGATGAAAATGATGAAAAGCCTATGTTTTCTCAGAATGTAATTAATGTTAGTTTATCTGAAAGTACTCCCCCAAATACGTTAGTTGCGATGTTAGCGGCTACCGATCACGATCAAGGTACTAATGGTAGTGTCACATACAGTTTACAATCAGAGGTGCAACAAAAGTATCCAGGAGTTTTTGGATTAGACCCGCTTACCGGACAGTTAACCATCAAAACAAAATTAGATAGAGAAATGATTTCCCGGTATGAAATCAGAGTTATTGCTAAGGACCAAGGAACGCCCCCTCAATCGTCAACTGCCACAGTTTTCTTATCAGTTCAGGATGTAAACGATAACAGTCCAGAGTTTTATCCTCTACAGTACTTTGTCCAGGTTAGCGAAGATACGCCAGTAGGGATGTCCTTGCTCAAAGTGACAGCTAGCGATAAGGACGAGGGCGAGAATGCCGCTATCAGATTTGGTATAGAGAGTGGAAGTGAGGGCATTTTTCAAATTGATGACAGCACTGGAGTAATGTCCTTGAAAGCTAGTTTGATAAATTCACAAAAAGTATTGTATCGGATGAAAATTTCAGCTAAAGACCGTGGAGACAGAAAAGCTGTAGAGGACGCTGTTGTAGAAATTATCAAAGATAGCCATATAGAAACAATTGAATTCGACGCATTTGGTGGTTATAATTTTCAAATATCAGAAGATCACGAAAAGAAGGAACCAGCCGTCGGTAGAGAAGTAGGAAGAGTACAAGTACGCACTTTAGACTTTCAGCAAAATAACGAAAGGTATTCAATAGTATATGGCGATCCAAACCGATGTTTTAGAATAGACGAAAGGTCAGGTGTCATAACAACAGCCAATAGAATCGACAGAGAATTGATGTCATCTTATAGTTTGACGGTAGTTGCCCGGGCTGGTCTGTCCTACGGTAAAACGACTGTGAACATCAGTATTCTGGACGAGAACGATAACCAACCCGTGTTTACAAGAGACAAAGACCAAGCGACCATAGCAGAGAACGCCGCCGTGGGACAAGAGGTGTACTTGGCCAGAGCGAGGGACAGAGACGCCGGGCTCAACTCCAGGGTCACATACAGCCTCAGTTTCAACCCGGACGATCAGTTCAGGATAGTGGAAGCGACAGGTGTGATATACTTGAATAAACCGATCCGCGCGGAGCCGGGGACTTGGCTGAACCTGGAAGTGACAGCGACGGACTCGGGAGAGCCTCCGTTGTCCGCGCGGCATGTAGTGATCGTCACAGTAGTAGACGTCAACGACCACACTCCGGTCTTCGACCACACCTCTTACGAGACCTCTCTCCTAGAGTCTACCCCGGTCAACGACAGGTTTTTTATTCTGTCCGCCTCCGACGCCGACTTGGGAGCTAACGGTCTAGTGTCCTATGCGATCACAGAAGGAAACGCCGAGGACAAGTTCGGAGTGTTCCCCGATGGCTTTATGTACGTCAGAAGTCCGCTGGATAGGGAAGAGAGAGATTATTACTCGTTGACAGTAACTGCCAGTGACAAGGGGGATCCCCCGAGGAGTTCCGTGGTGCCTGTAGTGATTCATGTGATTGACGAAAACGACAACCGTCCCGAGTTTACAAACTCTACCTTCACGTTCCACATTAGAGAAAACGAGCCTCCGGACTCATTCGTGGGAAAGGTAGCCGCTACTGATAGAGATATAGGACGTAACGCCGAGCTCACCTTCTCACTGTCAAACGCCAAACAGGACTTCGCCATCGATCCCAAGAACGGATTTATTAAAACTCTTCACGTATTCGACCGAGAGGAGCTGTTAGAGACGACAGGTCAGAGCTATGTCACGTTGGAAGCCATTGTTAGCGATAACGGAATTACGAGGCATCGGGATAAGGTGAAAGTCAATGTTTATGTTACCGACGTGAATGACAACGCTCCCCAGTTCTTACGACAGCCGTATAGAGTTCAGATATCAGAAGGCTCTAGTATCGGAACACAAGTGATCAGAGTGTTTACTACGGACGCTGACGAAGGCTTGAACGGGGACGTGTTTTACACGTTGTCAGAGGGTAACGAAGAAGGCAAGTTCGCGGTGGACGAAGCTACTGGACAGTTGACCGTCGCCAAGTACTTGGACAGAGAGACGACTTCTCACTACTCCCTGACTGTCGTAGCTCACGACGCGGCCATCACAGGACGGCTGAGCGCCACAACGACGGTGGTCGTCGACGTGTTGGACGAGAACGACAACGCGCCGGTGTTCACGCACACGGAGGCCAAGATATCGGTGTTGGAGAACGCCACGGTGGGGACCAAACTCATTCAGTTCGAGGCGACGGACGCCGACGTTGGTGTCAACAGAGAGGTCGTGTTCTCTATCAGCTCCGGCAACAGAAGGGACACTTTCCACGTCGACCCGGCCACCGGAACCCTCTATCTCCATAAGCCACTGGATTACGAAGAGCTCGGTTCTTATGTCCTCAACATTACTGCTTCAGACGGAGGAAACCCGAGACTGTCCACCTCGATAGTATTTACCGTGTCGGTAGAAGATTGCAACGATAACCCTCCGGCGTTCACAAACACGGCAATCGTGCGTCAGATCAGAGAGTGCATCCCCGTAAACACACCCATCGTGACGGTGACGGCTGAGGATCCCGACTCCGGTATCAACGGCAAGATCGCGTACGCCATCTCCAAACAAGAGCCGGAAGACCCTCTCAATCCCGGGATACTACATTTCCAAATCAACCCGAAGACCGGAGTCATCCTCACCCAACTACCGATAGACAGAGAGGCCGTAGACACGTTCCGTCTAACAGTCGTAGCTACTGACCAAGCTCTACCGGAATCTTCTAGACTATCGGCAGAGAAGCTCGTCACAGTAATAGTGGAGGACGCTAATGACAACGCACCGGTGTTCGTATCAATGAACGCTGCCATTCTACCAACACCTCAGCGCAGCGGATACCACGGCAGAGACGGCATGACAGTGATGACGGTGTTCGCCAGAGACGCAGACTCCAGCACTAACGGTCTCGTCACCTACGACCTGGTGACCGGCAACACCGACCTGTTCAGGCTACACAGGAGTACAGGAGCCGTGACACTCCGCAGGTACCTACCTGACCCGGAGCCCAAGTACCAGATATCGGTGAAGGCCACAGACGAAGCTGTACAATCGGACAGGAAGTCCTCTGACGCGTACATCACCATCATCGCGCTAGGGTCGGGGCCCGGACCGGTGTTCGAGAGGGCGGATACCACGGGGAGTGTGTACGAGAACGAACCTCCGGGCACCAGCGTGTTGACCGTGAGTGCTCGGTTGAAGGATCGCGACCAAGCGGATATCGAGTACTACGTGACCAATGTGACTGGCGTGGGAGGTAGACAGGCTGACCGTCTGTTTGACGTGGACACCAAGCTGGGAGTCGTCTCTACAGCTGAGGTGCTGGACAGGGAGGCAGGGCCAGAGTGGTACGAGGTCGAGGTCCACGCCATCGTAGTCAACTCGCCAACCCCACGGACTGGAAAAACTAAGGTAGGACTCTCCTCATGTTATCAGTAGTAAAATAAGTGATTGATTTCTGGTGGTATTTTAACTTAAAAACATTATAGTCGCCAAGCTTGTTAGAATTTGTTGGTTATTTTCTAACTTAATTTATGTAAAAAAACGTGGTACAACATCGTAAATCTAAGAATTTGGTTAGTACTAAATTTTGACAAAGAGATAAAATAGAAATCAGAAATTTAAAAATTTAAATGTATAATTCAACATTGCATCTAGTAAAATCAGTGGAAATTAAAACTAAAATTAATATTTTAAAAATGTGTTTCGACGTAAATATTACCAAATATTGAAAAAGGACGAATATTAATACGTAAATGAAACATAGTATACTATTTGAATTTTAATTTTATATTTGTTAGTTTGGAAACAACATAATAATAATGAATATAACAAGAATTAAACTTTGTGAATTTAAGAAAATTCATAGTATATATAGTAACATGTTCGTGTGAAAAGATCCCAATTTATTAGCCAATGATTAAAATATTCTTGTGGTAAAGATGCACAAATAAAATACACATATATGTCAATTTAATTGGTAAATAAAATGCGAATGAAACATTACGTTGTACATAAATTAACCGAAGCGGTAGCTTAACAAACAGACATACGATAACTTAAAGGCTTTGATAAGTAAAACACATTTCTAAAGAGCATAATGATAAAATTTTAAACGACTTAATTTTATTACAATCCAACACATTATTTTCAATCGTTAATTTAAAATAATGAATTATTGTTGACGAAGATTTAACCCATTAAATCGTAATAAAATGTTAAAGATCGAAATTTTATAGTACCCATTAGCGTTATAAAATAAAGTAAAAAATTTATTAAATTAATTAAATTTTGTAATAGTTTGACAGTAGCACTTTAAAATACATATAAAATAAACAGCTTCATATGTTATTTGTGTATTGGCTACGATTTTAAGACAATCCAATTTATAATTGTGTTCAATACAATACACCGAAAATGATACAAATCAATTCTACACTAAACTTATTACTAAATTTCTATGCCTTGTCTAATTAAAATTGTAATTTTATACCTAATATTTTGTTAACTTATCGTGCCAAAAAGTATTTTTTTGCGTGCACTTGTAAACTGGCATAAGTGTTAATATTCTTTAAATTAACACAATAGTTCCATTTTTATACAATTACAAAATAAAGGACTAAAGCTCAATAAATTAAAAATATTTAATTGGTACCTCGTTTAATACTTAACTGTATAGTTTTTAACAAACACTTGTAGAATTCCCCTATTATTTAAATATAAAAATAATATTATGTAATCGCAAAGCTGAAAAATCGGTCGGGACAAGCAGGTGATAATTAAAAAATGGATTTATATTCAAAATGTTAAACCTTTTTTTTCTGGTAACGCAATTCAACCATCAATTTAAGTTTCAATGAGCGTTTATCACGGTTTAAAACACAGTTTTACAATTTACGTCAAATTTTGTCAAAACTATGCAATGTAGAATTTATTCAGACGGTTGAGTCACTAATATTCTACTAATATAACGTGACCTATGCCATTGCGTCCTCTCTACTTATTTGTACCCTCTCCACAAAGGTCATTAATGTTTTTGCTCGTAAATCTCAACTTTATACAGTTTGTTTCGCCTACTCTGCGCATTTATTTAAATTATCTACGCTACTGGTGTTCGCCAGTTCACTTCTTTATGTGGTTTTTACGAGGGTCATCTCAGCACGATTGTTCTGTTTAGGGACACGCTAAGTCAGAGTCGGTGTTGGAGATGCGTTTTTGTACATTTTTAGGTCTGGAAAGTTATGTGATATGACATTAATTCATTAGATAAATGCAATTATGACCGTTATCTTTGCTCCAAAAGGTACTGCTATATAAAAATTACAATATTTAACACCATTTACCAAAGATTAATAACATTTATTCACTTATATTTAACATTTTACCCCAATCAACTAATTAATTAGAAAAACAGTGATTTGGCGATTTGGATGAAAACAAAAAGGTTATAGAAGCAAGCAAAGACATTAAAAAAATGTATAAGGTGTTCTTTGAGGAAAACACTATTTAATTTAACTCTCTACTTCCCAATCTTGATCCCTTTGAGATGCATTCAGTGAAATACTAACACGAACCGTGGGCTCAATGATTGTTTGAAAAGTAAAAGTTAATTCTTTTTTTATCTGTAAATACAACACAGAATCACATATCATAAAATTACTTACTTATAACTTTTATATGATAGGGATGTCACTCCAAATAGTAGGGATGAGCGTTGGAAAAGTGCGAAATTTTTTTATGGATAACTAAGATTAATTGTGTCTTTAGTTCTGTACCGGCCATTTTTTCAAGACAGCTGGGTCCTATTTCAAATCACCGAAACCCTAATGCATTTGATCAGTTACGAAAACTTTAATTATAATAACGAAATGGTCTCAATAGTTTTACTGAAGTTAAATTACCCATTAAATTGTGAAAATGTTTTAGCAGCAACATAAAAAAAAATACCTAGAGATTTGATAAAACACATAGTTTACCAAAGAAAACTTCGCCATATCACGTTTTCGGTACATTGTTAGGTGTAAAACGTCCTAGGAAGAAAATGGATTTAAAATAACGTGTGCTTTATGCTGTATCCCGTGCATTTGCCTCGTTAAACAGTTAACACAGTATAGACGGTCCTACAGGTTGGAGCTCCCGAAGCCAGTCAATGAAGTGACCTCCTAATAACAGTTCTCTGGTTGTCGTAAAGACTCGTCCCTTTTTACCGTCGTTATTTTCCGAGGGACACCCCTCCCTCCCTCCCCCTCTTCCGGTGCTGCCCAAGTGCTTTAAAGTCAGTCCCTTCAATAGTGTCCACCGAATTTGAATATTTTATCTGAACCTTTCGATGTTTTGACAAGAAAACGAGCTTAAAGGCGTTTCCTTTCAATTGAATGAAAAACAAATAATGAAGAATAAAATGGGAAAAAGAACAAATTTTTTCATTAACCTTAAAAATTTTGTGATTTTTTTAAATGGACTTTGTTGAAATAAGACGTTGTATTTTTAGTGCCAGATTATAATTGAATGATATCCAAGTTAGTTCATCGTAAATTTATGTTTTTTTGTCAGCTGCTTGTTGAAATGTTATTTTTTGAAGGAAGAGACTTAAACGAATGGAATTAAGGAAAAACGTTTACCGTGTGAATACTACAAAGCTGTTGCAAAATCAATTGTAATATATTGAAAATGAGATTAAGATTAAGTTTATATATTTCTTCATTTCTTCTTATCTTAACTGCAGTATATGTTATTATATTTTAAATAAGTGAGTGTAATTTAGGCCTACAACCTACAACTGTTTTATTTTTCGGAATATATAATCTCGCAAACGAAAAAAAAAACTATGAATTATATCAGGTTTTAGTGAAAGGCATGAACACTTTTAAAATGAGGGAACACTTAATAGACTGATATTTTGGTCTAATTAGGTTTACATACGTTTAAAAGCTTGTAGTAACTGTTTGACGCATTTTAAACAAAGTAACTTCGTACTGTGGAAATTTTCCTTAAATTAAAATTTAGTTAAATTAAATAAGGTAATTATTATCCAAATCTATAAGTTTGTCTGGATAATACACGGTTTAGCGACTATCTTATGTTCTTTAATTGTTGAATCTAAACTGTGATAAAACCCACCCAACCCTTTGAATTTTCGTTCACCTCCAATCGATCGCACACGAAGCCCTGCATAAAAGTCAACAAAAGTCATCTCGAAACAATAGCGACCTGTGACACGAGACCACCTGTAATTTGAGTTAAAAATATGCGACGCGACAGCTCGTGTGAAAACTGTAATGGCGATGTCAGCGAAGACCGGACCAAATCGAATGAATGGAGAGAACAATTGAATTGTGTCTGGCCCAGGGGGAATAATTAGGGGGCGAAATAATACCCGCGTACGTGACGGAGGTAAATGTCGTCACCGGGGCAGACGGGTGATATTGGGACTTGAGGGATATGTGGGAGAGACGTTGGGGATATTGAATCTGCCCCTGGGATATTGGGAGACAATGGGGACCTATATTTTGGATTTATATACAAGTACTGTAATACATGTAATGTTTTTACATGTATACAAGTAATACGTTGGGGTCGTAGAACATGGGTCGGAATACTTGGGGGAAAATTAGAACCTTGGGTTGTATCAAAGCCACAAATAGAATTAGATTCACTTAAAACTTTCTTAAAGAAAACTTTTGAATCCATTCAAAGACAGATTTAATCCGACTCCATTCGGTTATGTGAAATGTTTAGACTAGATTTTAAAAGAAAGTAGCCCAAATGTAAATGTTAGTTGGGATCAAGAATGTTAAGGAGGTAAATATCAGGTTTCAATGTAAATTTCGTATTCCCGTAAGAACCGTTGCCCATTTATCATATGATGTAAAAGAAGTAGCTCAGCTACAGACGAAGAGTTTTAGACAATTAAATTGTTAATAATTGAATTTAATTGTGTTTTGTGGTTAAGGCAGATTTGTTGGCTCTAAATGTATCTATACTTTAAGTATTTTGACATTTAAATTCCGTACTTTTTTAAGTTTTAACCGACGTCGTTGTTAACATTGGTCGTCAATATTCAATTTGCTATATAGTACAACAAGCGTTGTGTTTAACTATAATTTCCTCTGCAAATTTTGGAAATACCTCGTATGTCATACGTACAAAAATGGTAACCCTCACTTTCGCGCCAATTGTGGAAGCATCGCAACGCCCCACACCTGTTGGCGAGACAGCTGGTATATTAATATAATATTCAATTGTGCATTGCCTAACTTACTTGCATCATGTGATACTGCGGGGGTTAACCTTTACACGGGTATTTGAATCTCACTTCGTCCCTTGGTCGAGAACCTCTTGACATTTCAGTTACTTTCAACGGGAATTTCGTTGTAATGAATATTTATTAATTGTTGCGGCGTATCGATGAA